TGCTTTCACTCTCAAAGTGTTTTCACTCTCAAAGTGTTTTCACTCTTAATGTGGTGTACAGAGAGATATTAGAGTAAGTTTAATCACTTTTTCAGTCATTGTTTGCAACACTGTTGTTTTTATATCATGTCTTTGTTGTTATATCATTTTGTTATTTACTTATTAATAAATTTATATATTATTTTCATATACATTTTACTAATTTCCTTTCATCTCTGACACTTCTATTATAGAGAAAGGGCAAACAGCAATATTAAAATTTCCTCTAATTAATTCCCTTCTAATGTGCATGAATTTTATGCACAAGGCCACTAGTAAGTAAATAAAAACACAGAATCGTGGTAATAAACTCCCTAAAGAACATGTAAGTATAGTCCATGGACACAGACAACAACATGGTTAGGGCCAGGAGGAAAGGAGGGAGGATTTGAGTGGAGGGCATAGAAGGAGAGGTAAATGGAGGACATCTACAATAATTTCAACAACAACAAAAATAATAAAGGTCACAATAAGTTTCAAGGGTTAAAAAAACAGAATCACTGGGCATAGATGAATTATAGCATAAAACAGAAGGAATCATGAAATATGGATGAGTGATATAAAGTTGATAATTTGTCATGTTAAGAAATATCATTTTCTAATTCTTCATATTTAGAGAATTCAAAGTAAAATAAATTTTGAATATCTCATAAAAGTTACTGACTTATTAACATACAGCAGATTCATAAAAGATAAGTAAGAGCTAATCATAATGAAATTGGTAAGTTGTAACTTTCATTTCATGTCTTACATTTAACTATTTCTCTCTAGAAGAGCCAGGGAGCTCCTGGAGACTGGCTTTGGTAGCCTCCAGCATTTCAGATAACCCTACTACCAATATAGTCAAACCTACTCTAGGGATAGAAAAAACACACAGTCTAGCACATTGTAGATAACTAATCAATTTCTATTAAAAAGTATGATTAAATATTTATTTTTTGTTTGCCAACATGTATGTGAAGCATCTGTCTGTAATATATATAATATATATTAGTATTATATAATGTTTATATCATTAAAATATATATCCAATGTAAATGAAAGTTGGAAGATATTTAAGAGTATTTGTTTTGCCTTTCAGGAGTGTAATCAAATCCAAGACAATTGCTGTGACTCTACCACATGTGCACTAAAAGCCGGTTTAGCTTGTTTAATGGGACCATGCTGTACCAAGTGTCAAGTAAGAGTTTTCTTAAAATTTTGGTATTACCTATATAAATAAAGTTATCATTCTTTATAATATCTATATGTTTACATTCTGCTCTATTTAATATAATTTACCTCACACCGTCAGTTTTCACCAAAAGGAACTCCATGCAGGAGTTCCATACATGAATGTGATCTCCCTGAATATTGCAATGGATCTTCTGGAGAATGTCAAGAGGATTTTTATGTTCAGGATGGTCATCCATGTGAACAGAATAAATGGCTCTGCGTACAGGGAAACTGTAAGAGTATCGAATCACAATGTGCAGATGCATTTGGTGAAGGTATTTGTTATAATTTTATTTCCTGTACATACATTTTTCTGGAAACGGAAATGAAATAGGTGTTGATATATAACTGTGATTTTTTTAATGTAATTTCTTATTAAATTTATTGGCATGAAATTAGTTAATATGATTATAAGGTTTCAGGTGTGGATTTCTATGTTACAAAATTTATATATTGATCTGTGTGACCAGCACCCAAAGTCAAATCTCCTCCTGTCACTATATATTAGGACCCCTTTCACCCTCATCCCCTTCCCTCTTTCTACCACCACACTGCTGTTTATGTCCATGAGTTCCAGTTTTATATCACTCATATGAGTAAAATCATATGGTTCTTAGCTTTTTCTGACTGACTTATTGCACTTAGCATAATATTCTCAAGGTCCATCCATGTTGTCACAAATGACAGTAGTATTTTGTCTCTTCTTATGGCTGAGTAATAATAGTACATATATACCACATTTTCTTTATCCAACCCTCTCTCAAAGGACACCTCGATTGTCTCCATGTCTTGGCAACTGTGAATAATGCCATAATGAACATAGGGGTGAATATAGCTTAGTGAACGAATGTTTTTATTTTTTTGGTAGGTACCCAAAAAAATAAGAGGGATTGTTGGGTCATATGGTAATTCTATTTGTAGTGTTTTCAGAAACCACCATACTGTTTTTCTGTAAAAGTTGTACCAGTTTACATACACGCCAGCAGTGACTGAGGGTTCCTTTTCCCCCCACAATCCCTCCAGCACATTATCTGTCTTGTTGATGATAGCCATTGTAGTTTTGATTTGCATTTTCCTATTAGCTAGTGAAGTCGAACATCTTTTCACATATCTGAGGGCCGTTTGTATATTTTCTTGGGAGAGGTGTCTGCTCAGGTCCTCTGAGGATGGTTGTCATTTAAAATGACAGACAATGGAAAGTGTTAGTAAGAATGTGGCAAAATCAGAACTTTTATGCATTGCTGGTGGGAATAGTAAAATGGTGTAGCAGCATTAGAAAACAGTTTGGCATTTCCTTGTCTTATTCCTTATCATAGAGGAAAAGCTTTCAGTCATTCACCATTAAGTATTATTTCAACTGTATGGTGGTTTTTTTTTAATAAATGGCCTTCATTATATTAAGTACTTTCCTTCTACTTCCAGTTAGTTGAGTGTTTTTTTTTGTAATTAAAGGGTGTTGAATTTTGTCAAATGCTTTTTTTGCATCAATTAACATGATTATGTGGTGGGTTTTTTTCTCTTTCATTCTTCTATTTTGGTATATGACTAATTGACTGATTTATTTTTGTATTTTGAACCATCCTTGCATTTCAGAAATAAATCCTACTTGGTATTTATAGTGCTCTTAATATGCTCTATAATTCAGTTTATAAGTATTTTGTTGTCTTTTTAAAAATTCATATTCATTGTGGTCATTAATCTATAGATTTCTTGAGGATTTTTATGTTTACATTCATGAGGAATATTCTCAAATTTTTCTTTCTTGAAATGTCTTTAGGTTGTTTTACTGTCAAGTCTCATTGAATAATTCATTGAAGTATTTCCTATTCAAATTTTTTGGAAGAGTCTGTGATGCACTGTATTAGTTGTTTGAAATTTTTATGGAATTCACTAGTGAAGATATTTGCACTCAGACACTTTTTGTGGGAAATTTTCTGTTAATAATTAGAATTTACCAATGTGGTCGATCTTTTCAAATAAACAAATTGTTTTATTGATTTTCTCTATCATTTGTCTATTCTCTGTTTTATTATTTCTGCTATAATATTTATTATTTCTTTCCTTCTGTTTGCTTTATGATTAGATTTTTTTCAGTATCTTAAAATGGAATGCTAGATTATTGATTTTAAATAATTTTTCTTTCCTAATTTAGTTATTTGCAGCTATAAATTTCTAAGCACTGTTTTCAATGGTTCTTATACATTTTTGTATGCCATGCTTTTATTTCCATTCAACTAAAAGTATCTTCAAATTTCCCAGAAGGTTTCATTTTTATTTCTTTTATTTAGGTGTGTTTAATTTCCACATTATTGCATTTTTCTTATGTACTATTATTATTGATTTTTAAATTCAATTTCATTATATTCAGAGGACATAATATGTACAATTTCAAGCCTTTTTAGTTGCATGTATGGTTTATCTTGAAGAATATCCAAGTGCATGGAGAAGAATAAGCATTCTGCTGTTGTTTGCTAGATATCCGTTATGTCTAGTTTATTGGTAGTATTGTTCTAATTTTGTATTTTCTTGCTGATCTTCTGTTTATTTGTTCTATTCAATATTGAAAAGTTGGCAGACATCAACCATGTACTCTAAGTATGGCACTTTTACAAAAGTTCAAACTAGGTCAGGCCATTTCATTAACTGAAAAGCTGTTGGCGTTGGGCTACCATAGAGGAGATATAAGAATATTTCCAAACTAAAACGTCACAGTTCCCTTTATCCTATAAACTGCTTTCCCCAGGATTCCACCAGAGAAAAAAAAAATCTGAAAAAAAGTAAATTATTTTTTCTATATGTACAACTGCAATCCATCTACCTATCAAAATTAAGGAATTAGCTTATGTAATTCTGAGGGTAAAATGTTTGTTTGTTTTATGAGAGATACTGGAGAGCTGAAACAAAGCAGATGGAAAGTGCAAAGATGATGTCCACTATCCTCCATCCCCTCAGAGAACATCAGTAAATCCCTAGATGTATGCCATACCAAATGCCTTTACCTCAGACCAAAGCTCCAGGAACAGCCAAGAGGCACTAGACCTGTGTAAAAGCTCCCCTCTGGAAAATACTGGTAGTTTGGAGGTGGGCAGAGTGCACCCGTCCTCTGAGGTTTCTAAAGGATTACAGTAAGCCTTTAGATGTGTGTTTCAGGATATATGTAGCATGTTTCTCTTAATTATTTTTAAAAAGATTCTTTTATTTTATATTCTTAACTTTAATTTTTTTTTGCCTTTGAGAAGCCCTGTTTTAAGTCTAAATGTGTCTTTCTCTTTTAAGAGTGGTATATTTACTAAAACCCCTATCCCTGCTACCAGAGCACAGAAAGTGCATCAGAATCTGCACTGGTTTATAGACGTTATCTCTTTATATTTTAATCCCCTGCTTTTTACATTTTTAGAATCAGGAACAAGCCTTGAAAGGAGACTAAAGTATATGTTAATGCCCTTTGAGACTCTAGTTTTGTCACTATAGTTATGAAAGGTCTCCAACTTTTTCATATTTTGTGTCCACTAGCAATTGCCAGCTTCTCTTGCTTAGCTGACACTTTTGACTTCTCACCCAGGCCAGGTTTGCAAATGACCTCTGGACAAAATCAACTGCTTATTTTCTGTTCACTACTGCTGTTAGGAGTTTCAACAGATACCCGACTGTGTCCACTGGGGCTTCTCCTTTGGTGTGTCATAATGGAGTGGTGAAATCTTTCTTTCAAAGAGCTTTGACTTCATCCTAGAATAGAACTGATGATGGAGGGTTATGTTAAGTAAACTGCCCTTTCAGTAGGTTGTATCTTAAGAGAATTAAATACATTCTGTCTATGGATTGGATAGCAAATGTGAAGATGAATCAATTGTGGCTCCAATACTTTTTGGTCTGAAGTACTTATGATAAAAACCAAAGATATAAGTTGACTGGCTTGACTTGAAAAGATATTTATGCAAACACAAATTATTGACTAATAAGATTGTCTTTAAATTTCTTACAGACATGTGTTTCTAAACTTACTAAAAAATTAAAAATAAACTGAGTGCAATGTTTATATCTAAGGTATTTGGATAGTAAGAATATTTTAACTTCTAAATATTTCATTGAAGTGGTTTTGTGTGATCTTAAACCTAGTTTTTATTCTCAATTTATAGTATAACATTATTTTGTGCAATATATATTATAAACTATTTTAAAACGCCAAATTCATTTGTTAATTATTTTAAAATTAATATCAGTTCAATGTGACTAACCATACTTTTCTTTTTCAGCTTTAGGTGCAGCTCCTCCAGAGTGTTTTAAATACCTTAATTCTATGACTGATAGATCTGGCAGCTGTGGTGCAGATGCTTCAGGATACAAGAAGTGTAATCCTGAGTATGCTTTACAAAACCTAAGAAACTTTATTTTTGCCTTAAATTTGAAAATACCACCACATAAGGTTGTGTAATAAAAATTTCACCTGGCCACAAAGACTTCATTTAATCAAATTAGCATTATTTGAAATATAGAATGTCTGTGCTTCTGTTTCTCATATATCCAAATTACCCTTTGTATCTTCCCATACACTGTTTAATTTACACATAGATTAATTAATTATCCATTAGTTAGATTGACTGATTAGTTTTATTTTTAACGCTGTCCCTTTAATTTTACAAAGGATGACCATTCTTATAGTAATGAAACGAAAACAACACATGCATTTTTACTACCCAGGAAGTAGTAAAGCACTGTCTTTAAGAACATGTGCTCAAGAACATGTGCTGTACAGCTAGACACCATGGTTTCAAATGCTAACCATACCATTTATCTACTTGAATGACCTTGATCATATGTTTCACATATATAAAATATAAATATTAATTTCACTAACATCATTGGTCTGATGCCAGTGGGGAGTTTCAGTGGTCTTGGAAAAGCACTTAAAATGGGACTGACATATGGTATGCACACCACAAAGTACATCTCAGTACATTTACAAATTTCTTTGCCATATACTCAAATTCAGAATACACAGACGTGTGTTTTATAATTGCTAAAGCACATACTGACCAAAGAAAAGCTTCTAACTAATATGACTACGTTTTCCTTTAAATCCCTGCTAATTTTTATAGTAGTTGCTACAAAGTACTTCTCTGCTAATTGCCATATCCAGGTCATTTTGATATTGGTATCCAGTGATTTATTTGCATCCTGACTATGTCACATTTTAATTTTTTATATGCCTAGCACTTTTTTATTTTATAATGAATACTATGAATAATATACAATGGAAATTTTGTGTTATTTTTATGCATTTCCGAAGGCTAATGAATTTTGATATGGAAGGGATTGAACATAGTTGGACTCATAAATAGTATCTCTCTATGAGCAGCAGCTGAAAATAGTGTTCTTTATCTTTAAGATACACTTTAATAATTCCCTAGAGTGTTTATTGTACATGCTTAGTTTAGTGGTCAGAAAGGGTTTAGGGTGAAGTTCATATACACATCTTAGTGCTCAGTCCCTTTTAATTTTCAGTCACCAAATTATATTAGGCTCATATTCTAATTCTGCCTTTTGATTTTTCAAGCTAAGGATATTTAAAATGTTCTCATGGATTATTTTTAAAGCCACAGTCCAAAATGCCTCATATGGAATTTCCATTCTTATGGCTCAATTATCATTCAATTCTTCCCTCTCTGTTTACATTTCAAAGCTTTCAGTGTGTGTGTGTGTGTGTGTTAGATTAGAATTCTACTCTAACTCCAACCAACTTCAACCTACTTCTTAACTGTATAAATGATTCTTAAGTCAAGTTCTGTGTTAATACCTTCCAGCTAAAAACCACAAGGAACCCACCTGCAATTGAACAAGTTTGGTTTCTTACAGCTTCTAGTCAGTGAGACTTTACACTATGGGAAACTGTGAAACATCTTAGTTCCAGGGTTTTAGAGACTAATTATAGGACTTGAGCTTGTGTTAAAGTGATTTTCAGTAAGGTTTCAGGAAGTGGATCATTGCTCTGAATTGGATGTTTTCAGGAAGTGAAAGTAAGTCTGTGATCGGATATATTAGTAAATCATATGTGAAGAAGGAAAACTAGAGAGTGAAGCTAAAGCTGTACTCTCTCTATATAAAAGCCTAAGTGACCAGCTGACCATCCAAATGGTAGCTAGGATGTGTAATGACCACCAGGGGCATACGCTCAACACTGGAGCTGCTGAGCTGCGGTGACTTGGCAGCGGTGGTTCTCAGGTGATGCACCTGAAACCAGAGAGGAGGGAGCCAGACTCCAGGGTGTGTCACCCGAGAACCACCCTCTCACAATCTGGGACTTCTTGGGTGATGTCAGAGAGCCAGTTTCAGCCTAATCCCCGCAAGCCAGGCCGAGGGACCCCACTGGTGATCCCTTGGGAAATGTGGAAAGCTGGTTTTGGCCTGATCCCCACAGGCCAGGCCGAGGTACCCGACTGGTGTACAGATCCATGCACTGGGCCTCTAGTTGGTAATAAAACAACAGTAACTCATATTGGCTGGATGAGAGGGATGTTTGGTAATTTTGTTGCTTGGACAATGTTTATTTCTTGTCTTCCTATGTTCAGAGATGATTTATGCTGTGGACTTTTTTTTTTTCTTGATCTGCATAGTCACTGAATGGCTTTACCTAAAGTTGATATACTGGCCTGTATTTAACAGGTAAATACCATGGTCTAGCAATGAGGGCAACTTAGCTTGTATCAACTTCAAGGCCTTGCTGTAATATCAGACCTTCACTGAATGCCAGAGGCTAGTTTTCTCTCTTAAATTTTCCTCTTTTGCAAAAAAGGCAAAAAATCAGAAATAGAAAATTGATCCTCCCACCCCTAAAATTGTTCTAACATATCTATATTTTCAATATTGCTAAGATTTTATGCTGAGTAGAAGGTTATTTAGAGAATATGGTATGTAGTTGAGCTGGGATTAGTCTCTCTAGTGCAGGAGAATTTTTTGACTCCTCTGAAGTAGCAATGGATGTGTGGTTGACTTATGACCTCAAACAGAATTCATGGACCAAATAAAAATGTTATGGTATAACATGTGCCACAAACAGATATGGACAATAAGCCATTAGACATGATTTTGAGGATATCCTTTTTGTTAAAATACTGTATATACTTTAAATAATGGACATAGTGATAGCCCCACAGTATATAATTTGTTTACTTTGTTTATTAATGTCACTTTGACCCTTGAACTCTTACTTTTGAAAGTACTCAATTAAAAGGTAAATAGATGTTAAATTTAGCTTAGCAAATATTTAAGAGTTTAGATAAATATTTAGGAGTTTAGATAAAAAGTATTTAGGAGTTTAAATGTAAACAGTTTATTCTTGTTTTTCATTATATAAAACTAGTGGCCCAATGCACAGATTTGTGCACATTGAAAGGAAACTATTTAGAAGATGGCTGGTGGGGCGGGACTGGGTGAGACGGGCCAGACAGGCCCTGGAGCAAACCTTCCATAGTCCCTCCCTGGCTGGCTGCACCTGGGCAGCGCCAGGGCTCAAAGGGCATCTGCAGTCACCACTGCTCAGCAGTAAAGCAGATTTGGGCGACAGTGCTCCAGCAACAACAAAAGCCAAGGCCGAAGGTGGAATTACCTTTTTTTAATTTAAATTTTTTATTGTTGAAAATATTACATATATCTCCTTTTTCCCCATTGACCTCTCCCTGGCCACTCCCACCTCCCAGCACATACCCTCACTACCTTATTGTCTGTGTCCATTGGTTATGCTTATATGCATGCATACAAGTCCTTTGGTTGATCTCTTAAGCCCCGACTCCCCTCCCCTCCCCTGCCTTCCCTCTGAGGCTTGACAGTCTGTTTGGTGCTTCTCCATCTCTGGATCCATTTTTGTTCATCAGTTTATGTTGTTCATTATATTCCACAAATGAGTGAGATCATGTGATATTATCTTTCTCTGACTGGCTTATTTCACTTAGTATAATTCTCTTCGTGTCCATCCATGCTGTTGCAAATGGTAAGAGTTCTTTCTTTTATATAGCAGTGTAGAATTCCATTGTGTAGATGTACCACAATTTTCTAAACCACTCATCTGCTGATGGGCCCTTAGGCTCTTTCCAAATCTTAGTTATTATGAATTGTGCTGCTATGAACATAGGGGTGGATATATTATTTGTGATTGGTGTTTCTGATTTCTTGGGTTATATTTCTAGAAGTGGGATTACTGGGTCAAATGGGATTACTATTTTTAATTTTTTAAGGAAGTGCCATACTGTTTTCCACAGTGGTTGCAGCAGTCTGCATTCCCACCAGCAATGCATGAGGGTTCCCCTTTTTCCACATTCTTGCCAACACTTGTCATTTGTTGATTTGTTGATGATAGCCATTCTGACAGGTGTGAGATGGTACCTCATTGTCATTTTAATTTGCATCTCTGGGATCATTAGTGACTCTGGGAATGTTTTTATATGTCTCTTGGCCTTCTGTATGTCCTCTTTCGAAAAGTATCTATTTAGTGCCTTTTCCCATTTTTTTTTTGGATTGTGTATTTTCCTTTTGTTAAGTTATATGAGTCCCCTATTAATTTTGGAGATTATTAATGCTTTTTCTCATTTTCTGGTTACTTTCATAATTTTTGTGCTTAATAGTGCATCATTATGATGTATTTTAGTGGTTATATGTTAATATTTATTAAGTAAAATATTTCAAAGTCTTTACCCATAATGGTGAGAAGTAGGTATTATGTTTAAAAACTGAAAAGGATAAACTTTGTTAATTTTTTAGTATAGAATAAACTGGAAATTGATTATGTCTAAGAATCAAAAAAGTAAAAGAATCATTACAAAATTATCAGGTTATCTAGGAAGTAGCTCATCATTACTAAAATGTTCCATTATTATCAATACAGGTAAGACCTTCATTTTTTGTGTGTTTCACAATTAATTACATATAATTTTTTTCAGAACTTCAGTGTTTTATTTAAATCTTTTTGCTTTAGAAATGATATTCTAATATTTATTTGTATTTAAAACTAATGATTTTCATTTATTTGTAAATTATAGTGATGTGATGTGTGGAAAATTAATATGTAAACATGAAGGTGAAAATATACTTGAAAGTAACAGCGCCATTATTATTTATACTAATGTAAATGGAAATATCTGTGTCGCATTGGAATATAAATATGATCATCCTGACAGCGATAAGATGTGGGTAAAAGATGGAACTGTTTGTGGTACAAATAAGGTATGTATGCTTTTAGTCTCAAATGACTTTCTAATTTATACTCTATTTTTAAATGCATGATTAGTATTTTCCTCATAATTTAAGTACACATTCAATGTCATAAATAAAAAATAGAAAATTTTAAATGAGAAAAAACTAAAAAAGAAAAATATATAATCTGTTTTCATGCATATATGATATCACCATGAATATTTTATTACCTTTTTTCTTAATTTTTTTTTTACGTTCACTGATCTGAGAATCATATCGTTCATTCACTGTATTTATTTTGTTAAATTATAATACACAGAGTATTTCTAATGTTATGACCTATCTTATTATATAATTACTTTAAAATAGCTGTTAAATAATATGTTACCATTTAAGTGATAACAATAATCCTATATAGTAAAGAGGGAATATGCTAATTGACCATCACACCCTCACAATATGGCAGTGCCCAGTCCCCTCAGCCCCTCCGGGGGCTTTGGTTCCTCCTGTACCCCCCACTGACTGAGGCTCATGCAAGCAGGGCTGGCTAAAGTGTAGGCAAGCCTTGGATGGCATCTGCCCAGCCTCCCAGGACCAGCCCAAGACTCAGGTAACCAGGGATGGCCAAGGCTTGTGCTGTTGGCAGTGGCAGCAGCAGAGGTATGATGGGGGTGTCACCTTCCCCTGACTTCCAGGTTGCCTCCCACCCCTGAGGGCTCCTGGACTGTGAGAGAGGGCAGGCCAGGCTGAGGGACCCCCTCTCCAGTGCATGAATTTTTATGCACCAGGCCTCTAGTCTATAATAATCTATAATAAGAAAAGCACAATAGGTTAATTAGACGAAATGGTCTTCTGGATAACCTTCCAGAGGAAGCCAGGGCTGTAAAGAAAGACTGGGCTCCTGGTGCCTGCCGGCGGCCTGAGAGAAGCTGGTGTCAGTAGCCGGGGGACTAAAGGCCTACTCTTGCAAAAATTTTGTGCATCAGGCCTCTAGTATAGAATGAACATAGTAAAGCAAAAATTAATAGAAGGCACATATACGATGAGTAACTACTCTTTCTATTTTTATGAACATTCTATCCAATCTCTCTCTCTCTCTTTCTCTCTCTCTCTCTCTCTCTCTCTGAGAATGTAATAGAATCTACAGACATTGTATATACACTAGTAGCCTGGTATATGAAATCCGTGCATGTTAAAAGGGAATTAATTGCCCTAACCAGTTTGGCTCAGTGATAGAGCGTCGGCCTGCAGACTCAAGGGTCCCAGGTTTGATTCTGGTCAAGGGCATGTACCTTGGTTGTGGGCACATCCCAGTGGGGAGTGTGCAGGAGGCAGCTGATTGATGTTTCTCTCTCATTGATGTTTCTCACTCTCTATTCCTCTCCCTTCCTCTCTGTAAAAAATCAATAAAATATATTTTTTTAAAAAGGGAATTAATTATCAGAGATATTTTAATAATGTTATTTGCCCTTTCTCTATAATAGAAGTGTGAGAGATGAAAGGAAATTAGTAAAATGTATATGAAAATAATATATAAATGTATTAATAAATAAACAGTAACAGAAGGATATAACAACAACAGAGGCATGATATGAAAACAACAAGAACATGATATGAAAACTACAACATGATATGAAAACAACAAAAACATGATATAAAAACAACAGTGATGCAAACAATGATTGATGAAGTGATTACATTTATTCTAATATCTCCCTATACACCACATTAAGATTGAAAACACTTTCAGAGTGCTTGACTAATTTCCCTTGTGATGAAGTACTTAGAACTTTAACTGTAACATCGCATGCTCTTCAAACTCAAAAGAAAGCAACATATAACTGACCATGTGCAAAATGAGTTCAGTTTGTCCCTGTGATTTGTCAGTAGCCATCATAAATGCTGGCATCACAGA